GAGGTGGCAGCATCTGCTGTTTTCCAGAAAAAAAGCCAATACTCATTCATTCTCCTTTTTCCCCCTCTTTTGGTTTGGTTTTCTGGGGTATTTTTTTAGGAAGTTTTTGTCTTTTTCTGCTCCATCTCATGAGTGAGGTGCCCACGGAGCAGATCTCCGAGGATTTATTCTGCAGGAAGGACATGGAGGTGGGGCTCACCTGATCCTGGGGGAGAAAAGGAAAAGGAGGTGAGTGGGGAAAGGGGAGGGAAAGGAAAGGGAAAGGGAGGAAAGGAAAGGAGAAAGGAGAGGAGAGGAGAGGAGAGGAGAGGAAGATGGGAAAGGAAAGGAAAGGAAAGGAAAGGAAAGGAAACTCAAACTTTGGGTGTTGAGCAGCCTGACTGCTCAGTGCTCACCTCTTGTGCCCAGATCAGCAAAGGAAATGATTGTTCTTATCACTGCTGGTGCTACTGCTTTATTCATAGAAACATGACATGATTCAGGTGGGAAGGGACCTTAAAGACGATCCCATTCCACTGTGCCAGGTTGTTCCAAACCCCATCCTGCCCTTGGGCACGGCCAGGAATCCAGGGGCAGCCACAGCTGCTCTGGGCACCCTGTGCCAGGGCCTGCCCACCCTCACAGCCAAGAATTCTTCTCTAATAATTCTTAATAATATTATTATTATTATTTTACAAGCTCATCTTTACTCTTCTGGCTCACCAAAAATGGAGCTGCACCCCAAGTTTAACCCCAGGAAAGCTCTTTTCCAATATCTAAACTTGCAGCAATCAGCACAAAGGCTCAGTCCCAGATCCGACAGGATGACTGATGCAAGCTGTCAGCCAATATTTGACTTTCCAGGTGAGATTAGATTTAGCTTTTAATTTAATATAAACATAAGGCGTGCAGTGCAAGGCACTTATTTCACAGGCACCTGCTCCCAGCCTTGTGCAGGCTCCTTAAAGACGTCCCTGCTCTTTTGGGGAGTTTCATCCCATTATCCAGTGGAGCTGGAAAATCCTGAGTGTTCTGAATCTCCTTAGGGAAGGACACAGCAAAGGTAAGATGCTGTTACAAGTCTATTTCCTCTTGAAAAATGATAGCAATTTTTGATGTAAATCAAGGAAAAAGCAGGTTTTACAGACAGTAAAGGCAGTTTGTATTTATATTTTCTCATTTAGTTTCATTAATTACTTTTATCCCCTGTATTTGAGCATGTGTGAGGGAATAACTGCAGAATGATCCATGTGCACGTGTACCTGCATCCTTGTGTGCACACAGGGCTGAATTCCTGAATTCTTGAATTGGAAAACATCCCAGATTTTTTATTAGCAATGAAAATTCATTGCCTCTTCCCCTTGGATGCAGCCAGCTCCTCGTTCTTGAGGATTGGAGTGGGAACAAAGGGCTTTTGGGGGAAGATTTCCACAGGTTTCAGGGCTTGGCTGGCCTGGAGAGCTGAAAGAATTGTTCACATTAAAGTGGGACAGCCTGGGAGGGAATGGGATCAGGTGGGAATGGCTCTGGTGGGAATAGGATCTGTGTGGGAATGGTATCAGGTGGGAATGGGATTGGGTAAGAGTAGGATCAGGTGGGAATGGCATCTGGTGGGAGTTAGATCTGGGTGGGAATGGGATCTGTGTGAGAATGGGATCTGGGTAGGAACAGATCTGTGTGGGAATGGGATCTGTGTGGGAATGGGATTTGTGTGAGAATGGGATCTGTGTGGGAATGAGATACATGTGGGAATGGGATCTGGGTAGGAACAGATCTGGGTGGGAATGGGATCTGTGTGAGAATGGGATCTGGGTGGAAATAGGATCTGGGTGGGAATGGGATCAGGGTGGGAATGGGATCTGGATGGGAACGGGATCTTTGTGGGAACAGGATCTGTGTAGGAATGGGATCTATGTGGAAACAGGCTCTGGTGGGAATGAGTTTTGGGTGTGAGTGAGTTTTGGGTGGGAATGAGAGCTGGTGGGAATGGGCTCTGAGTGGGAAGGAATGCTGGAGGGGGATTGTCCTCCTCTGTGACATACACCTGGTTCATGGGTCTGAGCAGGACTGGGGTCTGAATTTTGGGATAAATGGGATCAAACATGGCTTTGCAGTACCAGGCAGTGTCTCTTCCCCTTGGGGGACTGTCCCAAATGGTCCCTGAGGCCACTCCAGGGATGGAGTCTCAGCCCCCATGTCCCTCCCATGGTTTTGTCTTCTCCTCAGGAGGAATCCTTCTTCCCTTGGAGATTCCCCTCTGTAGGGAAGGGACAGTGCCACAAGCCCTGTGACAGGGCCATGGGGACCTTCACCAAAGTGTCCCACTGAGCAAAGGGACCTGAGTGGGCTCCAGGATGAGCAGAGGGATGGAGCAGCTCTGCTGGCAGGAAAGGCTGGCACAGCTGGCATTGTTCAGCTGCACAGGAGAAGCTTTGGGCTGAGCTCAGGGTGGCCTTGCAGGGCCTGAAGGAGCCCCAGGAAACCTGGGGAGAGACAATTTCCAGGGCATGCAGGGACAGCACCCAGGGAATGGCTGCCAGTGCCAGAGGGCAGGGCTGGATGGGATCTGGGCAATGAGGAATTGCTCCCTGGCAGGGTGGGCAGGGGCTGGGATGGAATTCCCAGAGCAGCTGGGGCTGCCCCTGGATCCCTGGCAGTGCCCAAGGCCAGGCTGGACACTGGGGCTGGAGCAGCCTGGCACAGGGGAAGGTGTCCCTGCCATGGCAGGGGTGGGAATGGGTGGGATTTGAGGTCTCTCCCAACAGAACCATTCCATGGTTCTGAGTAGGACCTCCTTGGGTCTCTGAACATACTGAACCACTCAGAGATGGAGATTCTCAGCTGAGCTAAAGCTGCACCTTCAAGTGTCAGAAGGTGGCTGTTACTAGATAATTGACATAACACTGACAAAATACTCCACACCAACAATTTTAATGCAGACATCTGAGTAAAAAGAGTATTTTCTTGTCTTTAGCAGCATAATTGGCAAGGATGGCCAAGCTGCAGAACTTCACTTGGGCAGTGGAAGATATTTTCAAGGAAACCTTCCTCAATTACATGAACAGCTGGAGGAGGAACATGACAGAAGCAGCGAATAAACTGCAGGCTGAGGTGGCTGCTGAAAACTTTGACTACGTTATCCTCTACCTGATGGTGATGATTGGGATGTTCTCCTTCATCATCGTGGCCATCCTGGTGAGCACTGTGAAATCCAAGAGGAGGGAGCACTCCAATGATCCCTATCACCAGTACATCGTGGAGGACTGGGGGGAGAAGTACAAGAACCAGGTTCTGAACCCAGAAGATCTCAAGTGTGTGATCCATGAAAACCTGGGGGCAAGGGATAAAACAAGTCCAGAGTCACCTTGACTTTCTGGAACACCAGCAGTGAGGGATTCATGGAGTCACACAGAGGGAACTCGCTGGAATTCCAAAGAGCTGTGGGAGTGTTGGTTAAATTTACACATAGGTCAATGGATAATGGAGTCCTGAGGAAATCAATGTCATGGTTCCCGTGAGGATCTTGGCAAAGTCCAAGAAAAGTCTGTGATTGTGCTTCCCTTTGATAGTCTGTCCTTTGGGAAATAAAGCCATGACAGGGATAACTTGATTATTTGAGCATTTTTTAAATCCACAAGCAGATCTGGATGTTTCCACCTCAGAATAACTGTGAATTAGTGCTGGTCAAAAGTGCCAATTTAGATCCACACTGCGTGACTCAAAACCACTTTAAAAATAACCTGAAAATGTCCAGTGAAATCTCCAATCTCCACTCATTGACTGAGGAAGCAATTAGGGAATGAATCACAGGAAGGACCTGATACCTGCACACACTCACTTCCCACTCCTTTTTAGTGATCTGATTCCTACTTTCAGTCATGTTAAATAATAAATGACAAAGGGCTTCTTTTCTTTGGGAGCCTTTGGCTTGTCTTCACCACAGGTTTTGAGATTTGAGCTGATACCATCACACTCCAGATGTGCTGGAGGTGCAAAACCAGCAGGATGAAGGAAGGGATTTCTTCTACTTAGCTTGTGTGAGACCCCACCTGCAGAGCTGCCCCTGGATCAACACCAGAAAAAGGTGGAGATGCTGGAGAGTCCAGAGCTGTTTCACAGAGCTCCTCTGCTCTGAGCCAGGCTGGGAGAGCTGGGGGTGCTCACCTGGAGAGGAGAAGCTCCAGGGAAAGCTCAGAGCCCCTGGCAGGGCCTGAAGGGGCTCCAGGAGAGCTGCAGAGGCAGTTCTCACATAGTAATGAATTGATAGGACAAGGGGAAATGGCCTTAAATTGCAGCAGGGCAGGTTTATGTCAGATGTTAGGAAGAAATTATTTAGTATGAGGGTGGTGAGTCCCTGACACAGGCTGCCCAGAGAGGCTGTGGACTCTTTAGTATGAGGGTGGTGAGGCCCTGACACAGGCTGCCCAGAGAGGCTGTGGACTCCACATTCCTGGAAATGTTTAATGCCAGTCTGGACAGGGCATGGAGCAACCTGGGATAGTGGAAGGTGTCCAGGCTGCTCCAGCCCCAGTGTCCAGCCTGGCCTTGGGCACTGCCAGGGATCCAGGGGCAGCCCCAGCTGCTCTGGGAATTCCATCCCAGACCCTGCCCACCCTGCCAGGGAGGAAATTGTTCCTAATATCTGATCTAAACCTGTAATTTTTCAGTTGGAAGCCATTCCCTGGGTGCTGTCCCTGCATCCCCTGGAAATTGTCTCTCTCCAGGTTTCCTGGGGCTCCTTCAGGCCCTGCAAGGCCACCCTGAGCTCAGCCCAAAGCTTCTCCTGTGCAGCTGAACAATCCCAGCTGTGCCAGCCTTTCCTGCCAGCAGAGCTGCTCCATCCCTCTGCTCATCCTGGAGCCTCCTCTGGGCTCTCTGCAGCAGCTCCAGCTCCTCCCTGTGCTGGGACAGGGCTGGGGCAGCTCTGCAGGTGGGCTCTCACCTGAGGGGCACAATCCCAATCCCTTTCCTGATCCCCAGCTGCGCTCTGGGACCTCGCCGCGGTGCTTTCGGGAGCTGCTTTAGAGCAGAACTGTTAATTTTGAGGGAGAAAAGCCGAGCCCCGCCATGCCCAGCGCCGCAGCCGAGCGGGCGGAGCGGCCCCGGCCGGGCCCGGCGCTGCCGCTGCCGGGAGCTCCGTGAGGGAGCGCCGCCCCCGCTGCCATGGCCGCCCGGAGGTAGGACCGGCCCGGAGCTCTTCCTTCCTCCCTTCCTCCCTCCCTTCCTTCCCCTCACGGCTCCGCGGGGCTCTGGCGGACCCCGGCTGGCATCGCCGCCAGCTCCAAGCGCTCCGCTCCCGCAGGCTCGGCCGCTCTCCCGGGCCGGGCCTGCTGCCTGCCCTGCCCGGCCTGCCGCTGCCCCTTCTCCACCCCGTCCTTGCTCTCCAGGCCTCGTCCTTTCTCTCCGAGCCCTCTCCCGTCTCATGCATCCTCCCTTCCCTCTCTCCAGTCCCTTCCGTGTTGCTCACCCCGCTTTCCTCCATCTCCAGCCCCTCTTTGCTCTCCACCCGCCCTTGCTCTCAGTCCCCACGCTGTTGTTCTTCAGCCTCTTCCTTTCCCTCCAGCCCCCTTACTCGATATCCAGCGCTCCCTCCTTGTTCACCAGCCTCCTTTCCTAGTTCTCCATCGCCTTCCTTCCCCTCCAGCCCTCCCACTTTTGTTCTCCACTCCCTGCCTTTCCCTTCAGGCCCCCCTCCTTATTCTCCCCCTACTCTCCAGCACCCATTTGTTGTTCTCCATCCCCGTTCCTTGTTCCCCAGTCCCCCTTCCTTTCTCTTCAGCCCCCCTTCCTTTCTCTCCATCCCCTTTCCTTGCTCTGCACCCCCTGATTTTCTTGCTTTCCACCCTCCCTCCTTGTTCCCCAGTCCCTTCTTTTCCAGCCCAGGACAGAGCTGGGCTGGGATCCAGGGGCAGCCCCAGCTGCTCTGGGAATTCCATCCCAGCCCCTGCCCACCCTGCCAGGGGACAGTCCCTAATTCTCAAGATCCCATCCAACCCTGCCCTCTGGCAGTCTAAAACCATTGCTCCTTGTCTTGGTACTCTCTGCCCATATAAAAAGTCCCTCTCCCTCCTTTTTAGCACTGGAATGGGCTCTAAGGTCTCCCTGGAATTGTCCCTTCTCCAGGCTGGACAATCCCAATTCTCCAGCCTGTTTCCAGAGCTGAGGGCCTCTAGTTGTGGGATCATCTTTGTGATCCCTGGTGATGTCATGGTGGAAGAGTCTGATGTGCCCCTGGCATTTCTGGTTTGGTTTTTTTTTTTATTATTATTATTTTAATCCAACCAATGTTAATGAAACATCCCATCTGCTCTGTTCCTGTTTTCCAGACTTTGGAGTATGTGAGGAGCTACTGGAGGAATCACTCATCTTTTAATTTCTGCTTCAGCAGGTATGAAGATCTTGATGTTTTTTTAAATCGTTTTGATGTTGCTTGAGTTGGAACCTTGAGTTGATCCAGAATCAGAATCAGGTTTGGGTTGGAAAGGACCTTAAAGATCATGTCATTCCAAGCCCTGCCATGAGCAGGGACACCTTCCACGTTGCTGAGAGTCCCATCCAGCCTGGCCTTGGTGAGTGCCACCCCTTTTCTAGCTCAGAAAAGTCACATTTAAGTGCACTCAGATAACTCAGTAACTCGGTGCTTTCCAAGGCCTGGTGGCTGGAGTTGTTCAGCAGTCCCCAAAGGAATATCTCCAGCCCCATTTTGTGGGAATGGTGGAGTTCTTGGCAGGCAGGGCGAGATGTGCAGCCTGCCAGGACACCTCCAGGGGCTTTGGATGCTGTGGCTGTTCTGTGGATGTTCTGTGGTGCCTCGGGGCTGTTCGTGCTCTGCAGACAATGCCCTGAGAGCCTGGGCTGGGCTGTGCTTCCTGGGGAGGGCTGGAGCTGCAATCCAGGCTGGCATTCAATTCCCTCCTCCACCACAGGCCTCCCACGTGCCTGGGGCTGCCTGTGGGGCTGTGTTGCACAAGGCAGAGCAGGGCAGAGATCCTGGGGCTGGAATCAGGGCTAATTCCAAGCTCTGGGATGTGGTGCACCCTCCCTGAGGGACACGAGCCTCTGGAATGAGCCTGCTCTGCCTGCAGAGGATCCCAGAGGATTTGGGGTTCACAGGGAATTGCTTTCACAGCAATCCCTGAGGTGGGATCTGGCCAGACCCTCTCCTCTTTCCCATCTGCAGGAGCCTGATCTGCTTCACCAGACAGAATTCCCTGGGACAAGGCTGCATACAGAGCCCAGAATCCCAAAATCCCAGCATGGTTTGGGATGAGAGGGAACTTAAAGCCCATCCAGTGCCATAGGCATAGGAACACCTTCCACTGTGCCAGGCTGCTCCAAACCCCATCCAGCCTGGCCTGGGGCACTGCCAGGGCTGGGGCAGGCACTGTGGCATGGCTCTGCTCATGACCACCTCCCATTTGGAAAGGAATAAATCTCCAGAGGGGACCTGGCAGTGAGCAGGCAGTGCCTGGCAGGGCAGTCCCAGGAATCCCTGGCAGCCTGCTGCTGTGTTATCCCAGCTCATGGAGCTGGCAGGGAATGGCAGAGCCTGCTGCTGTGTTACCCCAGCTCATGGAGCATCTCTCAGGGAATGGCAGAGCCTGCTGCTGTGTTACCCCAGCTCATGGAGCATCTCTCAGGGAATGGCAGAGCCTGCTGCTGTGTTACCCCAGCTCATGGAGCATCTCTCAGGGAATGGCAGAGCCTGCTGCTGTGTTACCCCAGCTCATGGAGCATCTCTCAGGGAATGGCAGAGCCTGCTGCTGTGTTACCCCAGCTCATGGAGCATCTCTCAGGGAATGGCAGAGCCTGCTGCTGTGTTACCCCAGCTCATGGAGCATCTCTCAGGGAATGGCAGAGCCTGCTGCTGTGTTACCCCAGCTCATGGAGCATCTCTCAGGGAATGGCAGAGCCTGCTGCTGTGTTACCCCAGCTCATGGAGCATCTCTCAGGGAATGGCAGAGCCTGCTGCTGTGTTACCCCAGCTCATGGAGCATCTCTCAGGGAATGGCAGAGCCTGCTGCTGTGTTACCCCAGCTCATGGAGCATCTCTCAGGGAATGGCAGAGCCTGCTGCTGTGTTACCCCAGCTCATGGAGCATCTCTCAGGGAATGGCAGAGCCTGCTGCTGTGTTACCCCAGCTCATGGAGCATCTCTCAGGGAATGGCAGAGCCTGCTGCTGTGTTACCCCAGCTCATGGAGCATCTCTCAGGGAATGGCAGAGCCTGCTGCTGTGTTACCCCAGCTCATGGAGCATCTCTCAGGGAATGGCAGAGCCTGCTGCTGTGTTACCCCAGCTCATGGAGCATCTCTCAGGGAATGGCAGAGCCTGCTGCTGTGTTACCCCAGCTCATGGAGCATCTCTCAGGGAATGGCAGAGCCTGCTGCTCGTGTCTCTCCTCACGTGGCTGCACACCAGAGCTCCTTGCAGGTGAGGGGAGGGAGCAGTGCCCTTGTGTGGGGCCCAGGCCCTGTGTTTGCCTGCATTTCCCTGGGCAGGGAACAATGCCTGCCTGTGGATGTGTTCCCTGCTCCTTTCTGTGCCTTATCTCCTCGGGAAAGGCAAACACACCATTCCAGCTGTTGATTTAAGATACCCCAGCCTTGAAAAAGCAGTGTTGGAGCTTTCTGCTCTTGAACTGATAACCTCAGTGCTCATAAATGGTGTTTTTTAAGTGTGAAGGGAATCCTAGAATCCTGGAATGGTTTGGATTGGAAGGGATTTCAAAGCTCATCCAGCCTCCATGGGCTGGGACACCTTGCACTAATCCCAGGCTGCTCCAAGCCCCAGTGTCCAACCTGGCCTTGGACTCTGCCAGGGGTCCAGGGGCAGCCACAACTGCTCTGGGCAAAATCCTCCCCTTTCCCAGGGGTGGCATGGGATGATCTCCAAGGTCCTTCCAACCCAGATTGGTCCTTCCAATCATCCTGTGATTCCATGAAGTGAAAATACCTTTTCTTGGAAGTGTAGCAGCACTGGCTCTTTTCACAACCACCCTGACATTTTCCCAGCAGGAGAAGGAGCTGCACAATCAGGATCAGCACAGGAACAGTGACTGATGAACAGGAATTTGGTGGTGGCTGCCACCCCAGGGCTTTGGTACAGCTGGGTCTTGCTCACTCTGGAGGAGTGGGAATGTTTCCAGAGGGGTCTCAGCAGGGTGAGAGGGAAAAGGAGAGGAGAGGATGCTCTGGCTGGAGAAATTACAAAATCTGCCCAGAAACTGAGCAGGACAGGAACTGCAAGAACATTTAATTTCTGCAGGGAGCTCAGCAGCTGCTCTATGGCGTGCTGCTGATTTATTCAGCTGAGCTTTTCACGGTGCTGGAGTGTTCTCTCCTGCCTTTCCATGGACAGCAAAGGCCTCCAGGGGTTAATTTGGATTCCAGCAGCTAAGCAGAGAGCCCAAGGCAGTGCTGTGTGTGCTGCAGGCTTTTCATCCCAGGAATTCAGCTCTGGAATGGTTGGTGACCACTCAGGGCTCCAGGGAGCGCTTGCCTTGCTAACCTCTGTATTTACAAACTGTTAGTATGGAGAATTAAATTAATCAACCACAGAGGACTGAGAAATTAGAGGATTAATTCGATGTTCAGGCTCCAAACAGAGCAGGTGGGCTTGGAAATCCTCAAAGAAGCTCCTGTGTGTCCTCAGTCCCAGCAGAGGCAGGCAGGGGCAGCACACACGGCTCCAGCTTCCTAAGGCAGCCGTGCTTTCCATGTTTTCCATGGGGCAGCTGTCAGGGTGTGGAATTCCAGCCCCAGCACCTGCTCTGGGCTGTCAAAGCCCTGTCCTGCTCCTGTCCCTGAGCCCCAGAAAGTCCCTGAGGTCACTGGGGATTGCTGGGGATGAGCCCCTCCCAGGGCAGGGTGGGCTAATTAGCAGCTTGCCTAATTCTCTTTGAATTTCTGTTTCTCCAGGAGTTCATTCTGCTTTGTTTTCCATTTCTGCAAGAGTTCATTCTGCTTTGTTTTCCATGTCTCCAAGATGTTCCTGCCCTGCCCTGTGCCTCCAGGAGTGTAACCCCCCCAGTCCTGGGGCACCCCACAGCTGAGATGGTGGCCTTTAACTGGAAGGTGAGGCTGGGGCAGGTTCCCAAAGCAGGGAAGGCTGCTCTTTGCGTGGAGGATGTGTTGGGTGGGTTCTGATGGTTCCCTTCCCAGGGGAGGGTTGTTTAACCCCCACACTCTCAGGGACAGGGGATTTCCTCTTGTCCTTCCTTGCCAGATGTGCTTGCCCCAGGATTTGCTGTTGGGGCCTCCCATGTTAGACCTGAGCTCTGCTCAGCCCTGCTGCTCCTGCCTTTCCTCTTTCCAGGTTTTTCTCTGGCTACACTTCCCTCAGCTGCTTTTGTTACTGGAGGGCAATTTCTCCACTGGGTTTTTGGGGGTTTTGGGGTCATTGTGTCAGGCACCACAGTGTTGGAGCAGGTACCTCCTGCAAGGTGCTGCTGCAGAGAGCCCAGAGGAGGCTCCAGGATGAGCAGAGGGATGGAGCAGCTCTGCTGGCAGGAAAGGCTGGCACAGCTGGGATTGTTCAGCTGCACAGGAGAAGCTTTGGGCTGAGCTCAGGGTGGCCTTGCAGGGCCTGAAGGAGCCCCAGGAAACCTGGAGAGAGACAATTTCCAGGGGATGCAGGGACAGCACCCAGGGAATGGCTGCCAGTGCCAGAGGGCAGGGCTGGATGGGATCTGGGCAATGAGGAATTGTTCCCTGGCAGGGTGGGCAGGGGCTGGGATGGAATTCCCAGAGCAGCTGGGGCTGCCCCTGGATCCCTGGCAGTGCCCAAGGCCAGGCTGGACACTGGGGCTGGAGCAGCCTGGCACAGGGGAACTGGATGAGGTTTGAAATCCCTTCCACTCCAAATAATTCCATGACTCTGTAATTAACAATTTGAACTCATTAAATCACATTTCCCCCCAGCCCTGGTGTTGCAGAGCTGTGGCCTCAGAGCTGCTGCCTCTGTGATTGTGAGGAGATTTGCAGAGCCTGGTGCTGTTTTTCCAAGCTCCCTGCTGGTGTAGGGACACAAGGCTTGGCCCAAATTCAGAGCTTTGATGTGTCCTGACAGCTTTGGGATATCCTGAGGGAACAGGGTGAATTCCAAGTTCACAGAGTTACCACAAAACCTTGGAATATCCTGGTGGGAAGGGAGCCACAGGGATCACCCAGTCCGAGCCTTGGCCCTACACAACCCCACCCCATCCCTGGGGCCTGCTCAGTGCCCACCACCCATTTCCACTGGATTTTCCTCTCCAAGTCCATGCTTTTATAGAATTGAAACACTCTGTGCAATTCCAGGCATTCAAAACTGGTACAGCAATCCTTGGATTTGTCACTTTTCTGCCAATTTAAAGGTATTTATCTGCACCTTTCATATCTGAGCAGGTTCATTACAAAATTGCTGTGAATTAAGATTTCCTGGAGTGTTTTTGGGGATCCCATCTGAGAGCTGATGCCAAGGGATCCATCACTTGTGAGGATTCTTCAGAAGCATTTCCACTTTCACAATTTCCCTAAAATACTCAGCTCTTCCCTTTTTTTTCAGCTCCAGATGGTGCAAATATTGCTGCAAAATGAGCAAAAGGAGTTCAGGACTTGAGGGAAGGGGATTTTTCTTTGGCTTTCTTGCTCTGCCTGGTTTAATTCCCCACAGAAATAAAAATCATGGTGAGAGAGGAGCATTACTGTTGGAATGGAAGATGCAGAACATCCCTATAAATTCATTTTTAATTGCCCAAGAGTTCCAGAAGTGCCTAAACAGATTTTTTGGCATTCCAGGCTCTGGAGAACTTCCCACTGCTGATGTACATTTTGGCAGCTAAAACATTGATCCTTTGCTTGGCCTTTGCTGGAGTCAAAATGTACCAGAGCAAGAAAATTGAGGAGAAACTGAAGAGGGAACGTGAGGAGAAACTGAAAGCAGAAGGAGAGAAGAAGGATGAGTGAAGAGTGCCTCAGGTATGGAACTGATCCCACTTCCTGGGCTTGGACAATGACATTGCTAATCCCAGTGGGATTGATTTGGATTTTGGATCCCAAAATGAGCTCTTGGAATATTTGGGATGTTTCAGGGGATTTGTTCTCTCATTCTTTGTGGGATTCCTGGGCTTGAACAATGGCATTGGTGGGATTGATTTGGATTTTGGATCCCAAAATGAGCTCTTGGAATATTTGGGATGTTTCAGGGGATTTGTTCTCTCATTCTTTGTGGGAGTTACATGAGCCATTGTCCTGTTTGAGGATGTTTTAGCACAATATTCCCTGGGTTTTTGTGCCTGGTGCACAAAGAGGGGGATAAATTGGGAATAACTGCAGGGGAGCAGCCAGGCAGGATGCTGCAATCAGAGCTCTGAGCCTGAAGTCACAAAATAAAGAGAGAAAATAATCAGCCTTTCTAAGAGGAGTGAAATTATTGACAGCTTGGGGGTGGTTTAGCTGGAAAGGGAAAATTCCACACCTGGAATTCCCAAAGGGACAGGTTCTGCCATGGAACATCCACCACGTAGAACTCCCTGAGAAAAATGCACATTTTTTCTGCTTGAAAGAGCAAAATGAATGTTACAAAATTCCCTAAATTTGGGATTTTCATTCTGAAATTCCTGAGCTCCTCCCCTCTGTTTCCAAAGTTGAAGCAATCCCTGCGTTCTTGGAGCAAATCCATGAACAGAATGAGTCCTGCCTGCTGCTTGGATTCTATTCCCTGCCTTGCTTGTCATTTTTGGAGCAGTTTGCTTCACTTCTCCCTGTTCTGCAGCAAAATGGGAATTCTATTCCTGCCTGCCCTTTGGAAGCTCAGTGGGAGTTTGATGTCATGTTGCTCTTTATTGAAATAAAATCTTATTTCCCTTTCTGAGGTCATCCCTTCCCATCTAAAGACACTTAAAAACCTTTCCTAGATTTTATTTCCACCCTGTCACTGTTTTATTCCTTTTATTCCCAAGGATTGGGAATTGTGCCTAAAAATGAGGCCCTGGGAATAACCATGGGAACGAATTTTTTTCTATCTACACACACACACAAAAAAACCCCAAAACAAAAAATAAAAACCAAAACAAACCAATCCATTTACACACACAAAAAAAAACAACCCAAAACAAAAAATAAAAACCAAAACAAACCAAAAAACACCAAACAAAACCCCCCAAAAAAACCAAAACCAAAGGGGTTTTTCAGTCTCCTGCTTCCAGCAGATTCAGGACTTGGCTTTGGGGCAGATTTTGGGCCCTTCCCTGGAAAAGGAAAGGTTGGGCAGGGCTTGGAGCAGCCTGGGAAGGTTGGAGGTGGCAGGGGTGGATGGGATGAGATTTAAGATCCCTCTAACCCAAACCAGGCTGGGATTTTGGGGTTCTGTGCAGTGTTATCCCAGGGAATTCTGTTTGGCAAACCCCACAGCTCCAGGGATTTGTGCCCCAAAACCTCAGTGCCCAGCAGGTGACACCACCCTTGGTGTTCAAACCTCTCTGATCCCACAGAAATTCACTTCCCAGTCCCCAGAGCTGCCCAGCAGAGGTTCTATCCTTCCTAAATTCTGGGATTCAGAGGGAGCAATTCCCCCATGGAGCTGGGAACAGCTCCATGGGCACTGGGGCCCCTGTGCTCTCCCTCTTGTGCCTGCTCTTCTCACTGCTCTGTCCCCACCCTGCAGGTTCCTGACACTTGGAATGCCTTCCCAGGAGGATGAAGCCTTCCTGGAAAAGAAGGATGGGTAACCTCAGAGTGACACTTAAATTATCTCTGTTTTTATATGTACAGCAAAGCAGCTGAGCCTCCATTTATGCAATAATAATAAAAAAAAAAGTCTTTGTTTAAAAAATAAACGTGGGTGCTGCTTCCTCAAAGGACTGGAGCTGCAAGGGGAGGCACTTGGGAAAGATCAGCTGCAAGGAGGTGGCTGGGATGGAAGAGGAAAACACTCTGGAGGGAAAAATGGAGGAGAAAAATGCTCTGGATGTATCTTGGGAGGCTCCAAAGCTCGTGGAGAGGCAGAAGGAAGTGGAGAGAGCTCAGTGCAGCTTTTGCAGGTGCTTCCTGCAAGGGTCAGGCTGTGGGACCTGCATGGAATCACGTGGACAATGCCAGGAGAGGAGCAGCTCCAGGCACTTGGTGCATCCAGGACTTCCTGGGCTCCATGGAGATCACAGAAGGAGTTTCATGGCAAGAGGTTTATCCTGAGAAATCTCTTTGGTTCCCTGTTCTCTGCTCAGCCTAGGGGCAGCTGTTCCTGCCTCTGCAGTGGCACCAAATCCTGGAGAAGTTGGGCATGGAATCCTGGAATGGTTTGGGTTGGAAGAGACCCAAAATCACCTAAAATCACCTTGTTCCACCCCTGCCATGGCAGGGACACCTTCCCCTGTGCCAGGCTGCTCCAGCCCCAGTGTCCAGCCTGGCCTTGGGCACTGCCAGGGATCCAGGGGCAGCCCCAGCTGCTCTGGGAATTCCATCCCAGCCCCTGCCCACCCTGCCAGGGAGCAATTCCTCATTGCCAAGATCCCATCAAATCCTACTCTGAAGCCATTCCCTGGCTCCTGTCCCTCCATCCCTTGTCCCCAGTCCCTCTGCAGCTCTCCTGGAGCCCCTTCAGGCCCTGCCAGGGGCTCTGAGCTCTCCCTGGAGTTTCTCCCTCTCCTGGACACTCCCAGCTCTCCCAGCCTGGCTCCAGAGCAGATTTTATTTCTCTGTTCATCAACAGAGAAACAGCAATAAAGGCTCAGGTGTGGCAGTGCCTGAGGTGCCTTCACATCCCCGTTTCCATTCCAAAGCACTTCCTGCATGCTCCTGGGAGTTAAGGAGAAGCAGAATTTTTGCAGGGCAGGGGGGAGAGGAGGGAAGAGGAAGGCTGGAGAGCCCTTGGAGGAGCCCTGAGCCCAGCCCTCACCTGAGCAGGGAGCACAGGGGATGCTCAGGGAGCTCCCTGGAAGTGCAGGGATGTTCAAATCTCCCTTTTCCTGCTGTCTCCTTGGAGACTGGAGAACAAAAGCAGTGCAGAAAGCCATTCCCAGCACAGAGAAATGTCCTGCTGTGCTGTATCCTGCTGGATCCTAGAGAAATACCCTGCTCCAGCTCCTCAGGGCTGCCAGGCTCAGGAATTCCCAGAATCCCAGGGAATCCAGCAGTTCCCCTCTGCTCCCAGCACTCACCTGTGCATGCCAAGGTGAACTGGGGGGGATTGAATTCAGTTCCTGTGGTGCCAGAACAGCCTGGTGCCCACCTCCCTGAGGGAACACAGGAATTCTGCTGGAGCCACCCTCCCAAACCTCCCCGGGGAATTGTCAGCTCTGGTGACACCAGTGGCTCAGCTCTGTGCACTCACTGGTTGGTTTTGGATATTAGCCCAAATCTGGAGTTTTTAGGCTGTCCAGAGTAGATTTTTCTAGGAAAAAAAATAATAATAGTGCTGAGGAATTTTTTTTGAGCTTTTCAACTACTGCTCTGTGAGCAGAAATCACAATATCTATTTATCTATTTTTAGAATCCCAGAGTGGTTTGGAGTGGAAGGGATTTTAAGGATCAGCCAGTGCCACCCCTGGCATGGCAGGGACACCTTCCCCTGTGCCAGGCTGCTCCAGCCCCAGTGTCCAGCCTGGCCTTGGGCACTGCCAGGGATCCAGGGGCAGCCCCAGCTGCTCTGGGAATTCCATCCCAGCCTCTCCCCACCCTCTCAGCCAGGAATTTTCTCCCAATATCCATCCCATCCATCCCTGCCTTCCTCCTGCTTGAGGCCATTCCTAAATTTCAGTGTAGCATCAGAGCTTGGCATGGGGGACATCCAATAATTTCCAGGATAAGAGAAGGTTTTGTGCAGTCCTGTCCCTTCCCAAACTGAGCCATGGCTGTCCCTGTCCTGTTCCAGTCCTGTCCCTTCCCAAACTGAGCCATGGCTGTCCCTGCTGTTCCATGGGGAATTTGAGCTGTGCTCTCTCAGCTTCCAGGTGATTTCACCTTTGGGAGTCCCTTGTGTCACAGCTCGAGCAGGAAAAATCTGCTGACACTGGGGGGAGACAGGAGCTCAGCTTTGCTGCTGTTTCTCCTTCAGAGACCAGCTGGGGGCCTGGAATTCTGAAAGAATCCCAGAATTCCCAAATCCCTGGTGCTGGCAAAGCCCTCCCAGCCCAGGCAGTGCCAGCTGTGCCCCATGGCCACCTTGTCCCCAGCCCAGAGCACTCAGTGCCACGTCCAGGTGTTCCTTGGACACATAATTAAAAAATACATTTAAAAGAGGAAAAGAGAATTCAGTTCAGTTTCATCTCTGAGGGAGAGGAGGCAGCAAGGATAGAGGGCCTTGGAGTGCTTGGTTTATCCCAGAATCATCAAGGTGGGAAGAGCCCTCCAGGATCATCCAGTGCCACCATCATGGATTTATCCCAAATCACATCTGAGATGTGAACATGGCTTAAATCTTCACTCTGCTGGAGCTTGGTGAGCATCCAGCAGTGCTGACCTTGGTGGGACTGAACCATGGAATTCCTGGGTGGGAACAAACCCACAGGGATCAGAAAGGAGCCTGGAAGTTCCCAAGTTCAGGAGTAACTGCCAATAATGTGAAATTTATCCCTCCTCAACCCCTGTCTTCTACCAGCTGTTCCTGAAACCAAAGATTCCCTGAATCATCCCAGTCCCAGTGTCCCCCTGAAGGTCAAAGCAGAAGATTGTTATTAATGATGATCTCCCCCAGACATTTCCCTTCAGAGGGGTTTTCAGTGCACTTGGTCCCTTTTTCTCCCAACATTCCATTGTTTCCCTGCATCATCTGCAATAAACACACTCTGCACTTTGGATGCCTTGCCCTGCCCAGGCTGGGTTTTCTTTTTAACTGGGGAAACTCTTTGGAATTGCTGCTTTCTTATGGAACAGTTCTTGCATCTTTTGGGGTCTGTGACTGCTGAGGGGGTCAGCCCTTGGGGTATTTTGGTTTCCTGAGAGATCCTGAGGCTTTGTTTAATGTTGGATCAGCTGTTGTGACCCTTTGGGTTTGTTGGAGCCCATCTTTTCCCCCAGGATCACAGGAACAGCTGATCTGCTGCAGTGAGGGCTGTGTCCAGAGGGATCCTGACAGGCTGCCCCAAAATATCCACATCTGCTAAAAACCTGTCTAAACGTCCCAATAACTCCATGGCTGAAGGTCAGAGACCACATCAGGGTGCCCTGCCCTTAATTCCTGCTGGAGCTGCCCTGGCCCAGCCCCAGCTGCTCCCTGGGTGCTGTCCCCGTGCCAGGAGCAGAGGTTGGAGCTGCAGCCCCTCAGGGTCTCCCTCAGGCTCCTCCAGCTGCACATTCTAAGCACCCTCAGGTGCTCCTTGTGTGACCTTTCCCCATGGTTTGGGCTGTCTCTAAGAGCTTTGGCTCTTACGCTGCAGCTCCACATGGAAAACAGCCCAGTGTCCCACCCAGGAGTGTGTGGGGACAGCTCAGGTAAAATTTCCACAACCTGAGTTGATGTTTTCCCCCTGGATTTGATCCAAGGACCTTTTTTTTGGCTGTGAGTGGCCGAGGACTGGGAGGTGGCACAACCCAAGTCCCTGCCCAGCTTGGCTTTGGCTTTGAAGCTGCTTTGTCTTGGCTGCTGGAGCAATTCCAGCGTGTCTGGGCTCAGCTGGACCTTGCCTGGCTCACGTGTGGAGCACTTTGGGACAATCCCAGCTGATATCAGGAATTCTGGCAGCTGCCACAGGTTATCCCATGGCAATGAGCTCCTTGTGTGCTCCTGCAGAGGGAAAGTTTGTTTGGGCACAAAGGAGTGATTCGGCTTTTATCCATGTGGATTTCCAGCTGGCAGCCATTCCTGCTGGACCAGAGGGAGCTGCTGGAAATGTCCACGTGTCCCAGCATCCCTGCAAGGCTCTTCCAGTCTGTCCCAAGGCTGGGATGTGGCTGTCACATGGAGGAGGATGGATGTGGCTGCTTCCTGTTGATGCCATGGAGCACAGATGGGTGACTCTCCTTTTTGATTATCCTTTTTTTTTTTTTTCCCTGGACTTCCTGCTGTTTGGCTTTGCCTCACTTCCAACAGCGTGGCCCTTTTGCAGTCCTCCAGCTCTTTTTATCTGCCCTGACTCATTTCTCTGGCCTAAACTCGGGCTCATTTCCCAGCCTGCTGCTCCTCGTTGATGTGGGGAGGCTCAGAGCCAAGCACCAACAAACGGCAGTGGAGTTGGAGTCAAAGAAACGAGCCTGGGCCTTGTGTTTGGGCTCTGAACCAGCTCTGTTGTTCTGCTTTTCTCACACAGACCATCATTAGGGTGTTCCCTCTCCCTCCCATGCCTCCTCCTCTCCCACCTGGGCCCTGCAGGAAGAAATTCCAAGGAGGAAGTTCCTAGGGACAGAGCATGAGCTTTGAGTGATGTCTCCTGGCTCTCCATTCCTGGCCACCCTTCTCCCACTTCTCAGTGGGCTCCACTTTGCTTGCTCACCCAGAAAAGCTTTTATCCCAAAATCCCAAACCATCCAGCTTGGGAGAGACCTTCAGGATCCTCCAGTCCCACCATAACCACCCCTAAATTACGTCCCCAAGTGCTTTTGGCCCCGGGTTGCAGAAAGCTGTCAGGAGTGAGGACTTGAAAATGGGGGGAAATGTTCCCATTTAAAATGTTCCCATGTGTTGGGTAATGGGGTGATCCATTACAGACCTGCTCCAAGAGCTGGAGGAAAAATAAATGTTTGTGGGGCTTTTTTTCCCATGAAGATGAGGCTTGTAAAAGCCCCAGGAGTCATTAGTTAATGAGACATGATGGAAATTCAAGTGATTTGCATTCCAGCTTGAGCAGAGGGACATCTGTGACAGCTTCTCCCCAATATTTGCATCTGCCTCTGCCTCTT